CTGGTCACATGAACTTACAAGGTGAAACCCTAAAGTAATTAATAATTCAACTTCACATCGGTATTCTGTTAAGCTATGGTACGTACTCCGGGCTTCGGGCCAGTTTAGTAGCATAAACGGCTTCACCACGTATGAATGTTAGGGTAAATGTTTTTGTCGTCATTTTCTCATGTCATTTTATTTGGCCTTGGTGGCATCACAATGTGCTCTACTCTACGATCAGAACACGACATATATAAGTGTTATTATATCTCGCTTAAATAATAATACAGGAAATGATTTAATAATAATAATAATGTCCTCCAGACCGAATTCTGGCCACGGCGGCCTGCCTCAACGGAGGCTAGCCATTGCCGCAGGACAGGATTATAGTGGCCAAGTGTATGCGCAAGCACAGGTGCACTCTCTATTCCCTCACTCTCATAATCCGATGGGACGGTAAGCCGATACGAACGGAGAGAGATCAGGCGCAGGACCAACGGGCTTTACGTGCTTTCCGAGGCACGGGGGTGAGACACTGCCAACTTCCTGACTTCGGGAAACTACTGAGAATTTGTTGACGGAAAAATTCAATAATTAATATTTTGGCCCGACCCGGGATTTGAACCCAGGCTCTCATGATCAGCAGTCGCACTACTACAACCACTAGACCAACGAGGCAGTCAGGAAATAATTTAAATAACGTGGCTAAACCTCATCCTATTAAAAAGAAGAAAGTCTAATAGATTTTGGTGGTATAATTATTAATCCAATTTAATTACATTTAGTATAGAGCAAAGGTCAACACATTTCGATGATTTTATTTAACAGCATAGTTTCGTGTCTTCGTTACATAATGTGAATAACGGATATGTCTCCGATTAATGGAGAAATTATTCCAATGGGTTAGAGTTTCGTAACATCGTTTAATTAATTAGGTTCAAAAATTTCCGTGAATAAGGCATATAAAGTGATAATTTCTTAATGCATATATCATAAAAATGTTGTAATATTATACTGTACCCGCTTTATTCATCAATGTATTGTTGCATATTGGTTGCGTGTTAAATTACAAATATAAGACGACACATAATAATTATAGTATAATATACATAGGACCTCTGTTTTGCAAGAGCATGTAATACAAGCAGAGTAAGTAATGACTTCTTATATTTACGCGAACACTACACATTGAAATAATACTAGTTTTTACGAAATTTATCGCGTATATTTAACTTTTTAAATACCCGACGTTTCGAACGCTTTACAGCACTCATGGTCACGGGCGGGACTGAGATGTTCAACGTCCAGATGTCATAGTTAACCGCGGTTACCATAGATTAAAATTTAACTTTTGTTCCGATCTACACAGTATAAACTTATGGTATCTTGAAGTCTTGCAGTTGTATGCTTGGGTTGTGATTTAATTTTATTCATTATAGGATCCCAAGCAGATGGTAACACCCAGCCATCCTCTCTATTGAAATTAGGATGTTTTTTTGATTTCAATAGCCTCGCGAATCATCCTTGGAAGGAATCGGTATTCTTTAGCGAGGATATGTGGTCTATCAAACCTGATGTAGTGACGGGGGCGATCCTGTACGTGTTCACAGACTGCAGACTTCCCGGAGTGTCGATTCTTCACATCAGCTATATGTTCTTTAGAACTAGAAAATCCGTAAAAACTAGTATTATTTCAAGAGTAAGTAATATAAACAGACCATCCCTTTCCTACTTTTTATATATTTTAATCTTACTTTTTATAAAACTGCATAGAGTTGTAATGTTATTCATTAAATTAATTACAAATGCACACATTTAGTTGTTATAAATATTAAGCGACATTGAGGTTTTTTTTCTTTTTATAGGATAGGGTGACAAACGAGCACACAGTCCACCTGCTGGTAAGTGGCTGCTGTGGTCCATAGACATATACATCTATCCTCGATTACGAATCAAAATGCAGATGCATTGTCACCCGTGAAACTTTAGCCTCAATTCCAGTAAAATGGGTCTGTGTTAAGTATTAATTTTCTATCATTAAAAATCTTCTAAAGTATAAATGTCTTTAGTAGTTTGTTCAAATGCGTTAAAATTTAAGTTTTTATGTTATTTGGTTGAATAGAATACAATGATTTTTATTTTTTTACCACTGCACTTGTTCTAAAAAAATGACCCGGGAAGAACCAGCAAAGAACCCAGTAGGATCATTTTATTAAATATTAATTTATAATAATTTCCAAAAAATCTGATTAATTGTATATTAGAAACGGCATGGTGGTTCCTTATTCCCACGGATTATTATGAGTTATGTATTGTGTAATGTTATAATAACTCTTTTTATACAGTTTTTGTTTCATAATTTTTTTTAATTTTTAGTTCGTAAATTTACGATACGATTTTAAAGTTGTCACATTTTAGTGAACAAGGAATGGAGGAACATAATTTTATTTAGAAAAAGGTTAAGAGTAAGCTTATTCTTTTAATACCTTTAATTGAGGGATATAAATCTTTTACGTATATAACTCTAGGACATAGATAGATCACAAGAATCAGTATTTGATGTTTGACAAAGAGATTTTTTCGGGAATTCATTAGTTAAAAAAATGTGTGTAACATATTTTTTGAAGTATAAAAATTTTGTTTGTTCTTATATTGTCCCATGTTGACCAGGAACTTACAGGTCCCATGTCTATTTTGGACTTATAACAAAAAAGGATGTGCAAACTGATACTAATGTGATATTAGATTTGTAAATGTGTTACCATTAAGAAGCGCGATGAGTTTCTCTCCAAATCAACTCCGGACTCTATGCAGTGTACATAAATATAAATTTAGTACAAACCCGACCACAGGCGCCACCTATCAAGTCCAGATTTTCCAATTTTTTTTGATATTAAGCGAACATATATTGTGCTACCTTAAACCTTGACTGAGTTTAAAACTACCAGAGGATGACCACAAGATGTACTATCTCCACTTCTTTGGACTATTGCTGTTTTCTATGGTAACTATAGTACAAGTACAACTGGACACACTGAGTTACACTGATACGTAGTGCTAATTCTGTGCCTCAAGGTTAATATTGGGCTCTTATATATGAAATTAGCGTTTTGTCGTACTGATCACTCTGATCTGAAATATATCCCCTTTGGTTAAAAATTCAAAATACAATTTATAAATTCATTTAGCTGGTACATTTGAGTTTTAAAAACAGTCATTCATTTATTTTTTCCCTCATTATTTTTTTCTTTGGCGTAGTTTATAACCGCACAATGGAAAACATAAAATATCGGTATATTTACAAGTACGAGTTCCACCGTGGCATCAGTGCTGCAAAAACAGCTGGAAGGATTAATGATGTGTACAGCGCTGGTGTCACAAAATATAGCTCGTTACGTTTTTGGTTTCAACGTTTTCGTTCTGGAAATTTCGACCAGAACAAACCCCGTGGACAGCCGGAGACCAAAGTGGAAAATGAAGAATTAAAGGCAATTGTGAACCCTGGACAGCCATCCAAATCCTGCCCTAAACGAAAATTGACTCAGAAAAAGTTACTTGTGAGTGTTTGGTGGACTAGCGCCGGTGTCCTTCACTACAACTCTCTAAAATCTGGCTAAACGATTACGGCAGATATCTATTGTCACCAACTGCAAACCATGAAGTGCTAGCTGCTAAACAACCAAGATTGGTCAAACCACCTTCAAAGAGTTTATTGATTCTCGTCCCCAAGGTTTTTTTTTTAGTAAAGCGATCAATGAACTACCTATAAGACGGCAAAAGTGCATAGATAACAACGGTGCATACTTTGGTTAATTAAATATATTTTACAAAAAAAATTTACTTTATATTCCTCCCGTACAAAACGTCAATTTCATATGTCAGGACCTATCGTTACTCTATATAATTTATTATGTCTAGACATAAATTCATAATATGAATTAAATTAATTTTAAACTATCGATCCACCTACTGGATCAAATTGTGAATAAACTATCCAGGATCCAGCCGTTTAGGAGGAGTTTAATGACACAAACACACGTACAGAGTAATTATATATATATATATATATATATATATATATATATATATATATATATATATATAAGGATAATAATATTTTAGAAAGTTAGAGCTATGTAGAATTCCGCATCCTAATTTGCAATAATATTTTGTAAAATTTATTCCTCCAAAATCATAGCCCGTTGAAGTCAGACGTGTCTGGTGAATCCTGAACAGGTATCTCTTCCGACATTCATATAAACGAGCAGATTGTATCATAATGCAAGCGTGGCTTACGTCATACGGAAGAAAGTAGAGTTTTTATGAATGTTTAATAGTAACTATAGATTTAATACGCTAACTCTTGAATAAATTAAATCAAAAAGCCATTTCGCATATTTTTTTTTCTAGATATAGCGGAAGTTTCAACATTATAACATCTATATTTAATTATATTTATTCATGGTGTTTATTGCTTTCAATGTAGTTAGAATAAAGAAATCATCAATTTGATCTAAATAAATTAAACCTTTGGAGAGGATTTTTTTTTTATTGACACGTAAGATTTAAGTGAAATCTTTGGTAATAACAACACACCCAGTGAAAGTAAGTGATTCTCTCAGATGACAGTAATCTGTAGTCAGACCGTATGTGGGAACTTTACCCATTCAAGTTACGAATAGACGTTTAGGTTTTAAATGTTCCTCGTCAGCTACAAGTCTTACTAATTGAAAGTTTATTTTAAGATTTTTAAACTACTGATATCTCAAAATACAAGAGCATGTTAACTTAATTATAAAATAAATATTCTTATCTCGTCTAAAAAAACGTTATTTGAATATTCACAAAATTCCTATTTGTCTCTTACTTATTGCAACGTATCTCTGATTATTCTGTCAAAATTATGAGGAGACAAAATCTTCCGCTTCCTCTTAAATTTGGCTGTATGGATGACTTGGTTCACTTTATAAGGCTGTAATTTTATCACATAAAATAAAAATAAAGTCACTGGTACTCACTGGGCGCATCGTGTCGGTTGTATAGGTTTACACTGGGTCACAACTAACTACGCTGTCGTAGTAGAGTGAACGTTCGAGTCGCTTGCGCACCGGCGTTCACAACGCTACACCAAGCAATACTGCGTTGGTGCGTTGTCAAAGCACCGGCACCCTACGGTCGACGTTTTGCCCGGTTGTATAAACCTGACATCGAAGAACAAGGATGTTTTGATACCGAAGTGGTCGTTTGTTTACAAAGCCGCCCACTTATAACGGCAATTAGTTTACAATCTTCTTAATGTTTAATATGCATTTATTCACGAATACGCATATGCTGGTGATAAATTTAATTGGCTGCATTCTCGGGTACTAAGCAGATTTTGTCAGTTACAGTGAAATATCGATGTGGAATATAAATTAACATATCTCAAAAATATAAAACAATTTAGAGAAAACGTTACGTAAATTCAATTGTGTAATTTTACTACCTAATATTTTCATTTATTTCAATTTTAAAACATGTTCATTACAGCCCACCACAAAACCACCGTTGAATATAGACATCCTCCCAAACATACACCTTGGTCCCACATCCTGAATGGGCCGTCCTATACTTCACTTAACCGTTAAGTGAAGTAAAGGGATGCTAAAGTTAAAGTTATAGCTTATATGCGTCGTTCTGATAACCACAGGCCTCCCCTCATTTCTGAGAAGGTTTTAGGGCAAGGAAGTGTTCGCCGCACTGCCTCAATGCGTGTGGGCGAACCACAAATTTTTTTCCTATTTCTCAGACATCTAGGTTTTCTCACGATGTTTTCCTTCAGCGCCGAGCACGTGGTAAATCAGCATTTAAAATTGCAATTAACAATTTCATTGGTGCCGGCGGGGATCGAACCCGGGTTACTCGCGTTCTGTGAAATTTACAGCGAGTGCTAACCATCTAACCTACCACGACTGCTATGAGACTGCTACTCGAGAACTGTGACTGAACTTTCGACTGGCAATTGACAGCAGCATCCCATAAGGGCTTCTTATCTCTATATTTTTGTGGCATTTCTTGGGGGATGTTCTGCAGGGGATTTATGAAGGGCTGCAATAACGATGATGATGATGATGATGATTTTTAAATAGATGCACTGGCATTTTCGACTACCAAAACCCTTTAAATGTTTTGTTATTCATCTTCCTAACACTCCCTACCCCAACTACACCTCCATGCAACGAGATAATAGAAATGAAGCTTGAAACATATAAGGAAGTAATATAATCTAGAAACCACACAGAAATTCCACTAATGTGCCGTTTCAATTACTGAACAGTTGTGTAATAACTTATAATTTGTCACTTTACGAAACTTGCATGGAAACGAGAATTGCGTTTTGGAATGTTTTAAGTTAGTTTTACGACTTTGCTTTAAGTTTTGCCATTCATAAGTGAAATGCAGTATTAATATTTGATTAAATGGTTGTAATATTACTGCAAGGGATATTTTTTACAGAAGTACTTTTTAGTAACCAATCTATAAACTTATAATAATTATTAATTTTTTTAGATTTCATATTCAGTTGCATTTATTAGATTTACCAATTATGAAACCTTAAGTTTTTTATACAACTACCTTAAATAATTTTAGCTTACCTTGAGTAGATTCCTTGATTTGATTGCAATATAACATTTATTGCGCATTGTGCTGCTTAAATACTTAGGAAGACATCATCATTACCATTAGATCACATCTTAATGTTGTTAACAGTTAATACCTTCTTTATACATTTTAAACGTAACTCATATGTAAAACGAAATTCAAGGGTAGTAGGAATTTATCGGGGTAGATTCACCCTTACAACTATTTCAGACGCCAAGCAGTAGTGCGTGCACTGCTATGTCCTGGTTGCAAAAGTATAGGAAGTCAGTAAAATTACAGGCTGTTAGGCATTCCACCTTAGTATTTCAGTCCTTAGGGATGAACTCGCAACTGTAGCTTTCTTTATTTGAAAAATAGTAACAGGTATCCATGGCAGTACTCCTGTGAACAGTAGTTTTCTTCATTAATTCAGTTGGATAAAAATACAAAAATAAACAAAAAGCTCCCATAGCTTTTAAAAATAACACGTCATTCAATTCAAACCTTTAAAAGTACTATCACGTTAAAATAATAATAAGCTGTAGCAAAACATATTATCTTTAATTTGTGATAATGTTAATGAATATTCACTATAAATTTGGTGTTCCATTCAACGTATTGCAAGTTTTCTGTCATATACGAATTACGGAATCCACGTCAGAAGCCTCGCTAAAGACAAGCGGTTGTTACACAATCACTTATGCGTACATTACGTGATTCTTCAATAACATTCGACACACCCACATAAAATTATACATTTTTAGCAGTGGATCTTTTTACCTTATATTGGTCATTAAACAAATATATCTAAAACTAGCTGTAAACAATAATGTGCAAACATATTTATGCATTCTGCTAAGTTATACTCTGTTTGTATATTAGGAATACTAACTTCTTATTAATCTTAAAGAACATACTCTCTTAAATAGCTACTCTAGTACTGGAACAGCGTGGCGGAAAATCGTATCTTATTCATCTCAAATACAAGCAGAATATACCTGGGAGAGGAACGTATATAGGCCATGACTTTACCTTTTATATCTACAATAAATTCGTCTTATATATAAATGTTAGAATAGGTTTTATAACCATCACCCTATTTCATATTATAGGTCCCGTAAGAGGTTTGATTTCCAGAGAGATTTAATGGTTTGGATCTGATAGATGGCAGGTTAATTATACAGTTTTCGAGACTTAGAATATCCGAACAGGTAACGGGGAGCGGCGTCACACGTGCGAGAATCCTGACACTGCGATCATCAATCTGGCTCACGGTGTTTTTTTTAAACTTCAGTGATAAAAAAACTTACAGTATCTTATGTGATGTTCTTTTATTTTTATAGAAATACTTTTCTGTAGACAATATTGAATGAACAGCTATCAGGCATAATGCATACTGATCTTGAGTTGCTAATATGAATCAGAGTCACGTAGAGCTGGTCTTGCGAAAAACAACAAATGATGTTGATATCTTGCTGCTTTTAGCTTCTACCTTTGTGCTTTGTTAATAGTTATAGCGTAACATAAGTAGATTAGAAAGAGTTCTTCTCTATAAATCTAATCTAATCGGCGATAGGACCACAACCAACACCAACTAAGATAAAAATTAAATCATTAAAATGAAAATCTGTTGTAAAACTGACTGACAGACAGCTTTTCCTCTTTTCGTATTCTACTTTTAATAAGAATTTAATAAAGATTAATAAGCATTTTACATTGTACTAAAATTTTACAATAGAACTATCTCTTTTCACATCTATTTAGCCGAGCAGCACTTTTTATCAGCCTTGATTCCGCGTCACGTCACGCGCAAGTGACTTAAATTTAAAAAGAAACTAAATGTCAGCTCAAGTTTTAATTTTAATTAATTACTAAGCCCACGATCAATAAGGTACTGGTGAAATACTGTTTATACTCTATGTGTTTAAACTTTTAACATATCATGATGCATAGATGTCACAATGTATGTTACGAAATTGTGTGATACTGTTTTAAGGTACAATTCATGCGAATATACTAGTCAATATTTAATCAAAAATAGCCTAATTCTTAAGTTTTCCAGGCTACAAAAGTCGTGAACGTTTGACAATATTGTCGTGAACCAGTTCCTCTAACTAAAACAATTTTCAGACTTACTTGTGGTGATAAACGGCGACATTATATTAATATTATTTTAAATACATTTAAATATGTATTCCAAATTTTGTTTAACTTTTTTGTACATATTATAAGTAACACTACTACTTCCTAGTGAGTAAACAATTTAAAATACCTCAAATAACCAGACCGATGCGACATCGTGAAGTGGCAATAAGTTGCCGAATCTGATAACGCAATCGCCAATCAATCTACCAAGCATAACTGACATGAATTAGAATTATTCGACACAAAACATGACAAGCTGTGATGTGCTTCAGTATATTTACGTAAATTTTTTTCCTTATAAAACCAAATTTACTGTAAAAGAAATGTTGTATTCCTGAATTTTCTACCGCTTATTTGCATATGAAAAGTAACGTCTATATACTTTTAACGTAGTCTCTCGGAACAGAAAAAATAATAAATGAGACGTTGACTCTTTAAATGCATTACCGTTACAGCCAATCAAATTTCACTGCTGAACACACACCTTTCCCATTGATTGCCTTATATAGGGCATATTTGTCATATTTGCCAAGCTTGGCAAATGGGTTGGCACCCGCAGGTTAGTCGTGTAGTGATGATGTAAGAATATCCACTACCTCATACCATCCCGTGAGTGTCGCAAGAGGCGACAGAGGGAAAAGAAATCAGGAGATGAACAGTAGCATTTTCATAATAACGATTAAAAATTTAAATGCGTTACGTTCATATAAAAGATTTCAACGCGCTCCATATCTTATGATAAAATATGTCAAATATTTTGTGTATTCTGAACAGTATTATTTAATTAGACGTGCGATTCAAATAATATTAATGAAATATAAAATAATATTACTAAACGAAATCAATAGTGACAAACCAATGAACAGCTCTCCTCTTAGTTACTGTAACTGAAAAACATCGATTTTCATTTATGAATCAAATAACGATCTCAACACATAAATATGATTTTTAGTTTCAAATCCCAAGTGGAGTCGATATTTTGAAGAAAAAAAAACTATTCAATGTCATTATGTTCGTGATTGTCCCAGTGTTTCTGATAACAGCATAATTGTTGCATCGGGTGTGAATAAGTTGCGATGGGCAAGTGTCTATGCTATCGTATAAACTTGTAAGGGTCTAGACTACATATGTATATACAGAAGATACATTCTGTACATTTGAAAGCCTTAGAAGTATTCTGTTATGCACGTCATAGTCAAAATAGATTGATATACCTTTTTATTTTTATTTTTTATATTATTATATTTATATCTCATCATCA